TCAGAGGCTGCGGGGCGGAGGGGAGCAGGGCCGAGGAGGCAAGCTGCTCTGTTGCCCTAAAGAGCTACAGCGTTTGCGTTTGATTAGGCATAATTGGGCGCCAATTGTTTCGCTGCTTTTCTAGTTGTGGTGCTGCTTTCTGATAAACCGGGCCTTAGAATGGTCCCTTTTCCCGGAGGCAACATGGTCGAACAGTTTTTTTGGCACTTGCGTCGCTTTTTGCGTCCTTGTGCAAGACGAGCATCAAAATTGTAAGGCCAGTGGCTGTTCCCAGTTGATTATTATATTAATCGACAAGTTATTTAATTAACTACTGAGCTAATTTAAGTTTTGTTTGGCACGTTTCCTTTCGGTAATTGTTGCGAAGGCGGCGTTCTTCGAGAAATGCATCAAGGACGCGGCCGGTGGACCGTAACAACCCAATCGCTCCCCCACACCCAACCCCACATCACCCCCACCCCTTGCCCAAGTTAACGGGGCTTTGACAATATGAATAAATTGTACTGGATATCGAAATCTGGAGGCAGCAAACGCTTGGGTGACAGCAGCAAAGCAATCATATGCGATTTTAGAAAGGCACTTCCTTATACCCATGCATACACATACACACATTTAGTCCGCCACGGTCTCCCTTCCCGTTCACTGTGAGTCAGTTCCCGTTCGTTCAGTCATCCTCATGAATGGTCAACTGAACTGTTGGTTCACTGCCCCAGAAGTACCTCGAAGACGCCCCGTTGTTCGCCTGCCCGGAGGCCGACATCGATCTGATGGAGATCGTGCCGCACGTCAAGCGCCTCATGGCCTTCAGAAACATATCCAACAAGTTTCGGCGACTCGCCACCGTGGCCTCCAGCATGGACCGCATTCTGGCCTCCAGTCCAGTCCTCTGCAGCCTCCGGGTGTCGGACGCCCTGGGCCTGTGCGTGGACATGGCTTCACGTATCCTGAAGGCGAGCCTTTGCGCTAACCGTTCCAATCGCATCCGTATGCGGGTTAGTCCTTCTCTTTGATTCTTCTGATATTCACACATTAGTTTGCTTGAGACTGTGCAGGCTTGTTATTTATGCAGCAAACACAGATCGTATTTACGTTCTTATGCGCAAAACAGTTTTCACGTTTTTACGCATAATAGCACGTAAACATACGTAAATATGACGTAATTGCAGCCCCTTGTACATAAGGACAGTGCATACAGCCTCCAGGAGTCCGGGGAGTAGCAGCCAAACGCGCTGTAATAGGCAGAAGACAAACTCTTGTTCCACACAGCCGTGGAATTTACCGAGCGCGAGTTCGGTGCTGTGTTGGGGGTGCTAGCGGAAGTGGAGGAGTGATCACTGCGCGATATTTTATCACGTTGCCTCGGTGTCACAACGAGCCGCAAAAGCGTAAATACAGCCGTGAAGATAGCCCCTTGTGCAAATTTGAGTTTTGCGTGTATAAATGAAAATGCGAAAAAGTAAACGTAAACGTAAATAACAAGCCTGAGGTTATGTTTGTGTGCTGAGGATATCGCTCAGGAGATTCCGGCGACAATCGATTTCTTCGTGATCTTAACGGGAGTTTTGCCCAACGAAAACAATTACATGTTCCAAATTTATTGTTACTAAGGAAGAAAGTCGAGCGTGGCAAAATCGCGAGCACCGCCATTGGGATGTTTCGCATCTCTGGTGCATTCATGTGCCTTTTTACCTGTAGAATCGAGGTGATGTTTTGATCTATCGAGCGGCGCGAACGATCTAATTGAAAGGGAATCTTAGTGAGTCTAAGATCTCTTGCCCTGCTTCAAACACGATTCGCGGTTGAAGGGTGGGCTACGAAAGCGGTGCAACGCATCGATGCATCTTGAATCATTGAGTTCGCAGATCTGCAAGCTCAGAACCATAAGCAGTGTCTTGCAACACTCTGTAGATGCGACAGGACCCCAGGCCAACACCAAATGCCCCATTTCTGGCGCATATTTCAGGCGAGAGACGTTTGCATCTACAAGGTGCTCCACGGCAGGGCCCGGTGTGTCGCGCCCCCCTCGCCTGGATGTGCCGAGTCTCCGACCGACAGGGGGATGGTTGGATACACTGCCCAGACAGGATCCTGCGTGAGAGTGTCGGATCAACACAAGCACCCGTCCTTTGACCCAGAAATGGATAAATCCTTGGTGAGAAACGCGCACTGAGCCATGCCGCTGCGACGTCCGCTTAACGCTGGTAAACACACAGGCCAAAACACACGGTTTTGGGAGATCCTGAACCGCGCAACATTATTGAAAACCGAACAAAACCATGTCAAGTCGTTTATTTATCGTGTGAGAATGGGGACATGCTGTGCAATGGCGATTGAGTGAGTTTACGCGATTTCTAAACGTTGTGACACTGTTTTGCAAGATTCTTACACGGCTCGAAACCGTGTATTTGGGCCGATTTTTTACTTTCGTAACCTCCGTTAGTTCAACTTGGTTCGGCGCGTGTCAAATCAGCCCGTGCGTTTGCCGCCCACTGGAGAGCACAACTGAAGCAGCTGCACGCTTTATTTGCATTTACTCCTGCCTGGTAATAATGAGCAGTGTGCACAAGAATCATGGCCTGTTTCTTAAAGACCTGACACTTTTCCCACTCGCTGACGAGGCACCTCCCTTGCAGGGACCACACGCTCATCCAGTCTTGTGCCTCGGCACAAAGAACCCGTGCCCGCCCACTGGCGTGGGCGGCGCCCAGCCCCCCTCCCAGGCATACACCGTCATCAAGGCGCTGGGCAAGGCATCTTTATCAGAAGGCGCATTTAGCCTCGATGATGCCTTCTTCTTGCGCTCCATGTGCTCGTCCGTATCCAAGGTGACGCCGACAGAAAAGGGTTTCGATATTGATCATCTGGCGTGTGCATCACCGTGGCAATTTGCGGCGCGAGTGTACTTATCCTAACTTCGGGATTGAAGCCCTGCCTAGCGTCACCAACACCTGGGTACCAAAGACGCATTTTTTCTTGTTCTTTAAATGCAATAAATTACGCCATTTGACGGATATTCGAAGTGCCCAACTCTTATCGGTGGAATGCATGCTGCGCCCTGTCGCGTTGCCGGCAACGGCAGGGAGCGCGCTTCGCGTCGTTTTCTGCATATACTTGGCAACGCCTCGAGCCACAGTGCATTGCTGATACACGGGCTGGAGGGGATTTATACAGAGCTCCGACATGGCCGTAGGTGGAGCGCGCATTTCGGGCAGACCAGCGGCAACATCTGGTGTTTGATCACTTCTAATTGTAATTAAATAACTACTTTCTGCTCAGCGAATCACGCTGCAACGGCGGGAGTTAGTATATTGCAATAATTGCGCATATTATAAATACGCAAACTAGCAGATAACACCATTGTAGATATGCCAACTCAGATTTGGCATTACTTGATGCCATCACAGCTCGTTAGATGCCAACTCAATCGCCGCGGTGGCACGACTTGCAGTCCAAATGGTATCGAAATTATCTTCTTCTGCCAGTGATACTGATCAATTACATTGTGCTTCCGTAAGCGCAAGCGAAACAATTGTCTCCCCGCAAGGCAAAAGCGTTATATATTTCAGATCAAACATGATTGGATGGCCATCTTGGATGGAATTCTGTCGGCCAACGCCTTGTAAGTCCAGGTGCTTATCTGCGGCGCCTAGTTAACTGCATCCCAAATCGCTGCCCAGTTCAATTTGAAGTTCAATGTTGTGGAATACATTTCACTGTCCTGTACCCAAGTTGCCGACAGGTGGTATCAGTAGAAATTGGAAAATTCGTGCAAACGCCCATCAACGCTGCGAGCCATCAGAGCGTGATATTCCGAGCACCCTCAGTCACCTTGAAGGTGAAGGGGAAGTGTCTTTCCAAAAGTCCACAGATAAACAGCATAACACTCAAACGAACAGCTTTGCCCAGTGCTTTGCAATTCATTTCAACCATAAGAACAATGAATTGCTGGAGAAAAATGAATTGTTGACATCGTTTGATTATATTCGCATTCCGACAACGATCTGCAATTCACAAAACTTTGATAATTTTAATACCAATCCCGCCGCAATCAAGTTCTTATTTCACAACACTCTCTCTGCCCATTTTTCATACCCGCGCGTTTCGGCTTACTTGCAAATGAAATTCCCTCCTCCCTAAAGGCTATGGGCTTAGCTGAGATCTACGAGGAATCAAGGAGACAAGGCGCCGAGCTCAAGTCGTTGATCGACACCATCAAGGATGTGGCGTCCCAGCTGGATGCAGGAAGGCTCATGTCGACCATTGCCGATGCTGCAGCGCAGCTTCTTGACGCACAAATGGTGAACTTCTTCTCGTTGTCGTGGAAGCCAATTCAACCAATTTAATGTCATCAACAGTTGCCAAGAAAATGACGATACACTGTACTGCATCTCGGCCTTTGCGGATACGCTGCCTGATTGCGCACATGGATCACTTGAATGCGTCGCCATGAATGTGTAGATCATTCAAAGTACCCCCGCCCATCCCCCCTATTTATAGGCACATCCGCGCACGGAAGCTTTCAAGGAATTTTGGACTATCGTAAACAAATTCCAGGCCGATATGCGCGCCTATTCACCACGCTGTGTGGACGCCGAAACGACGTTTCAAATGCCACGTGCAGCACCCGACAAACGATTCAAGAAAATCTACGTCATCCTGGTGACCTCACAGGAGGATCCTTCTTGCACCGATAATTGCGCCTATTCACGCTGTGTGGACGCCGATACGATATTTCAAATGTCACGAGCGGCACCCGACAAACGATTCAAGAAAATCTACGTCATCCTGATGCGCGCACAGGAAGAGGCATTTTGCGTCAGCGACTCATCTCAACTGCATTTGTTTCCCTCGAAATGATGCCAGCGACGCCGCAACGCGCCCTCCATACCATTTTGACAAGTGGCGCAACTTCTTCGCAAATTTAGTCGACAAAAGTTGATTTCGCAACCGCCAGGACGTTCTCCAGTACTTCGTTCCCTCCTCAGGCCGTCGTGTACCAAATGGACCGCCGGGCGAGCGAGCTGGTCGGCTACCCGAGCGGCAGCGGCCGTCGATTCCGAACGCCCGCCACCGGCCTGGTGGGCCACACCTTCTCCCAAGGCGCGTCTTTCAACCTGCGGGACGCAAAAAAACACAGCCTTTTCGACGTCTCCTCGGACACGCCGCCGGGGATCAGTGCCCAATGCATGCTCCTCGTGCCCGTTCTCAGCCAGCAGGGCGCCCCTATCGGCCTGATCCAGGTAGCGAACAAGCTCAGGAGAGGCGAGTGCGGGAGGGAGGGAGACGGCGGGGGTACCTTCTCCGCAAGGGACGTCGGAATTCTGGGGTCGTTGGCGGTTCAGGTGCGGGAGCAAGCACGCCCGGGCTTTGGTGACCAAGGTGTCGCTCATTGACTGAAAATTTCAATCGTAACCGGCGACAGTGCAGCGGTTAAGTGGCATTCGGTGACCATGCAGTACTTGTACCGCTAGATGCAGATGCTCCAGCAAGGGATGTACAGAAAGATTCGCACGCTCGCATTCACGGATCCGGATGTTCGTAGATCCATCGAGATATTGCCATGTGTGCTTAACACATCTCCTCCGCTCTGGCTCGAGCTCCCCGCAGGTGGCCGTCGCCGTGGAGAACTGCCAGGCGTTCGCGCTCCGCATGGAGAAGCGAAGCGACGCAAAGAACGTGCCGGTGCGGCGTTCCACGTTCGAGGCCGTTCGGGATATTGTCATAGAGATGCGAGACAAGCTGAACTGCGAGGGGGCCAAGGTGCACTTGGTGGAGGAAGGCGTGGGGCTACTGTGCAGTCCAGCCCCCCTTCCGCGGGACAGCGTTTACACTCCGATGCATGCCGGCATCGCCGGGAAGGTCGCCACCAGCGGAGAGAGCGTCAATTTGAGGTGCCGCTCATTTCAGCGCTTTCTGTGGCGCAAGATGCAATTCCGACGCCCACTGGGTTGCGAATTCACGACAACACGTAGTGGGTTCAAACATATCAAACCTTGTACTAAACTTAGCACTCCTGCGCGCAAGTGGTGTAGAGCAATCGACGCGCAGCGTGCACTGTGCAATCAAACATAGCTATTGTACACAGGCATTGGCGCGGCACAGTCAGGAAGACATTAGTGGAGCCGGCCTCGACAGAAACTTAGCTCCTCCTTATATTTTACCGATCCTGCACGTGGCCCTCAAATCTATTTCTGAAAATTCACAATCCAATTTTGTTTACACACTCACCCTTTTTCCCTTTTCTTACCAGCCTGTCTCCCATTCACTTGCAGAAATGTCCACTTTAGGCAATTTCTAACTGTGTTCGGATCGTGTCAAAGCGGCGGAAATCGTGCACTTGAAGATCTGGCTTTCTAAAGCGGGACCATATCGTGCTGCCCCACCGCGTTTTTACAGCCCTTTTGCGCGAGTGGCTTTCCCCTGAATGGCTTCCGCGGCTCCCTCCAGGGAAGCTCGGGCGGACCCCGACTTCGACAGGAACGTGGACAGCCAGGGGCTGCACGTCTCCACCATGATGGCCGCCCCGGTGGTGCACCCCTCCAGCGGCGCCGTGCTGGCCGTGGCGCAGGCCCTGAACAAGCGCCGGGCCTACTTCGACGTCCAGGATGAGCGCTACCTCGAGGGCCTGGCCGCTCGGGCGGCGGCGAGCCTGGCGAACGCACGCCTGCACGACGAGTGGGTCAGATGCTCCGGGCTCCACGCGTCCCTCGCCAAGCACGTCAGCTTCCTGGCAGCTTCCTCGCAGAGCGTTCTCAGGCGAGCCGGGGACGGGCGCAGAACGCTCCGAGGAGCTCGCGACTTTCTCGCCAGAAAAAAAGACCTTTTGCGATCCCAACTGCGATGCCATTTTACACAAATTGATGCCATCGCAGCTCGCTCTATGCCGTTGCAATTACTGTGGCTGCGGCGCTTTGAGCCAAAATGGCATCGCAGTTGGCGTCGCAAGCATGACCTTTCTTACCAGTGTCTGAAATTGGCGTTGGGGAAGGCGTGTGTTGTCGATCCATGCCGTTTTCGGTGCACGAAGGGAGAGGCTACGGGAGTCGGGCGCTCTGCCAGCGTCGTGTCCCGCAGGATATTTGCGTAAATGAGCAGTTCTCATTGACTTCATCAACCCTTCTGGTGCTGAAGGCGCTATGCAGAAAATCGCTCCCAGCAGATGGACTGCCAACTGTGCATCCCACACCAAATTGGTCCAAAATCTGCATTCGGGCAGGCTTTTTCCACCGTGGGCGCAGCTGCGGATCAAGCTCCCGTTTTCGAATCAATAAATACGATTCAGAATTGACTGGTCGTGATCTTGCGTCATTCTTTTCCATTGCGCGATTGTTTAGCAGTGCATTTGACTGCTTGCTCAGGCTCTCGCAAGCTGCGGAGGACATGTGCAACGAGCTGCTCCAATGCCAGTCGTCCGCACTGATGGTCCTCAAGGCAGACGGCACAGTATTCCCGCCCAACACGCTGGGAGGCAAGGATTTCGGCACTGCCAAACACATCGCTGGCGCCCGGCACGCCGCGGATTCGGGCGTCACGCAAATTCAGCCCGCCGCCCAGCTGCAAGTGGACGAGTATTCTGGCCAGGCGATCAAGCCGCACAGGGTGGCGTACGTGCCGCTGAACAAGGGGGGGTCCGGGAAGGCCGTCGGGGTTATGTGTCTGCAGAGGTGCAGCGTGTTTGAGATGACGGAGCTGGAAAGGACGATGCTGGCCTCTGTGGCCCGGCGGGTGGAAATGCACCTGGAGGAAGCCCTTCACGCCGAAGGCAGTGCTTCGCCGCAATGAAGCTCCCTCAGTTGGCATGTTAGGCATCATGTATGATAGCAACTGTGTTGCGAATTGGTGTTGAGCGACCGAAAGGCAGTTCTTGTGCAATGCTCCGCCGGCGGCCCCACGCACCGCCAAAAAGTGCTTGCATTACTTGTGTCGAAAATACAATTGCCTTCTGCGTATAAAAAAGCTCCGAGATTTTGGCCGGCCTTGATGCAAATCGACTACAGTGATTATACCGAAGCAAGACAGCCATTGCTGAACGAAAGCACGGAAGTGAATCTTAAGCGCTGCCGACATTGTTTGCTGCCGCGGTGCGCCATTGTTCTGTAATTTGGGTCCTTGAATGGCTGCCGTTTCTTTTCGTTTTTCTGTGAGATTGGGCGGCGCTGTTTGTGCTGGATGGCTGTGAGCAGCCGAAGGTGAGCAATTGTTTTGGGAGCATTCTTCATCAAGGACGCACGCGCCCTGCGCAGGATGAATGCAAATGACTATCCTTGGTATTGCCCCTCCCGCATCCAGGATCTTCAACATTTGGTCCATATCCACGGCATTTTGAAAATTGCTTCACCATTGAAATTGGAGATGGCCATTCTGATACGCATTTGAGCAACAGCGACAGATGCGAGTTGCCACCATAGACCTTTCATGCAAGTGGCATACTACTTCAGTGATTTGGACACATAGGAAAGGGAGCATTCGTCCCCGTAATTTGCTCCTCTAGGCGCGCCAGAACTTGCACCTCACAGTTGCAATGCGCATCTAACGGGGATTAATCCAGATCGCGTTGCTGAGCACAAATCATATCTTCCTCAGAATCCTACTTCTCGCGTCCGCCGCCTCCACCGTTTCAACAAAACATTAGACACTCCATTCTGGCGATGCCAATTGCGGTGGTATTTGACGCGATTTGATGCAGCCACAGGTGTTTTTTGCCATCGCAGTCACTGTGGTGCCACCTGTTAGTGTCAAACGGCATCGTAGCATACGCCACCAAAATTTTCTTTTCGAAACCTCGCTTAGCACTACAGAACCCCCCGTTTTCTGTTGGCGCTACCACCAATATCGGGCTCTCCAAATTCACCACTTCCGTCTCCCCCAAGCTCCACCGCTTCCACCTTCTCCACCATCTCCCGTTTTGCCCCTGTTTTTTGCCAGGAAAGTATCTAGCGCGGCCGCCCTTTGGAGCATTCTAGGCCAGCACATCCTACCTGCGCTCAAAAAGGGTCAACCCACTGCTTGCAGCTCAGCTCAGCTCGAGTAGGGCCCGTGGACCAGCTGTCCTCTCCTGTCGTCACCGGCTCTGGAATTCTGAGATCCTTCTCTTCCGGAGAAGGATGACAACCAGCGTGCTGCTTTCTGGCGCTTGTTCACCGCGTTTGACCATGGACGTTCAGAAGCTTCTACTGGTGCAGCCTCTTGTGAACTGAAATTGAACCCAAATGGGTTAAAGACAGCTATGGCGCATCCATACCACGAGCGAAGATCCGCTGGAACTTGTTGAACCCCAGACTTTGAGATGGCTCAGTTTACCCGAGATCTGGAAATTTCCACATTCAATTCGAACAACTCATTGATTATCTCCGCAAATGGAGTACCAGAGGACGCGGAACCATTTACGGAATACCAGCCAGTCGTGCATCATCAGGAAGAAGAATCTGGGGCTGGAACTAACGCTGAATCCTTCTTCAATTGAATCCACTGAATATTCGTCTTCGCACCATGGGGCCCCAGTTACTTTGGAAATTCGCGATGCAAAGAGAGTTGAGACACTGAGATTGGTTTTCAGCCCTCGCCCAGGAGGTTGGATAACCATACCGTACAAAAATACAATAGACCATGGTCTGACGTGATGCGGACGCCATGCAGCAGTCGGACTCCAATGCACAGAATGTTGTCCGAAATTGTTCACGGCTTGGAGTTCATGAGATGGTAAGCACGGCGCCAACAGTCTTGCGCATGGCATGACCAGTTTGGCTGCTCCGAACTTAGCCGAATGACCACCGATTTGGACCACAATTTCCAATGCATCAACCAGCGTTCGTAGAACAAGATTCGCGTCAGTAGGTTATAACATTCTGAAATGAGTGCAAAATTTGCTCAGGGATGTGGACGACAATTCGTGGACGGGGACATTAACAGGCACGGCGCGGACGACGCTGACCATTCTGACAAAAATGCGAGTCATGGTGATACAGTGGGAGTAGATTGTTCGGCGAAATTACGTGTTTGATCGTGTAGCAGAAGCTCCCCAGATATCTTGTTTAACCTCCAAATACATTGTTGCATGGATTCTGTTTTGAATGCTTTTTTATCTCAGTTGTGCGCCAAAGACGCAATTGCGCATAACGTGATCCAGATTCCGCAACATCCAGGTAAATGGCGCACCCGAAAATTCGTTAGACGTTGATGCAATATTGACAGCGCCTTGCATCAACGCCGCTCTACAGATATGAACTCCGAACGCTAGCATTGATACAAGGGACCATGAAATTTGCTGAAAAGCTTACCAAACTTCCAAATGTATCTCAGGGCCGACAAACAAAATCGTTGATGCAGCAATGCTGCAACACCGCTTTTTTGGAATTTTGCACCACGATGCCTTGTTGGAGGGTTGGTTAACATCGACGGAACAAAACCGCCGATTCAAGTGCAATTCAGCAATGTTGGTGATCATTGTTCGATGGCCTTTTTGCCTCAAACCCCGTGGACGCTACACCAACGCCTACCGAATTTCAGGATGGCACGTAAGCGCAAAACAGGCCGCCGAAGTATTTCCATGATGTGCGCTCAAAGTCCCAAAACTAGTAACGCCATGACTCTGCGCCACACGCAAAACTCGCGAGCATTGCGCAATCACATAGTTATCATATTAATGTATTATAGTATATTGTGTACAAAGATAGACACTCGAAACATCAGTGATATGCTTCAGTCCTTTTTTGTGCATGGATAGCCCGAATATACTGCATTGTAAAACCTCTGCTGCGTCCACTCAGTTTGCGCACAGCCCCGGAACATCAATAGCCTGAGCGTTTCTGTTTCTCGCAAGCCATGCAGAGATCTGCATCGCGTTCGGAGACGAATTCTTCCGGATAGAGGGAAGCAAGCTTTGTTTTATTTCATCCTATCGTAGACCTATCTATCACTGGCAAAAAAAATTGTCCATTTTACAGTTTTTAACTGTGTTCGAATTGTGGTAAAGTAGTGGAAATCATGCATTTAAAGCAGATAGCTCTTGGAAGCAGGACCAAGTCGTGCTGTATCGACCTCGTTTTTGGAAATATGTTCAACCAGCGGATTAGGCCGCAGTAACATGACATCTCTCCATCGGCGCTGCTGCGACTGTGGCTTCGCCACCGACTGCATTCATAAAATCGACGTTATTAATTGAAAAATGTGACTGTTGCTGACAGTATGCGCAACAGTTTGTATACTCTGGATGTCCACTGCGGCGGTGAGAAAGACTGCGGGAGATTGCACCAGTTATTTGTGTCTCTCCTTGCAAGCAGCAGGTAATGTATGTTCCGAGCGTCATGCATAGTTAAATTGAGTATCACTGTGCCTGTCTGCTGAAGACCATTGCAAGGAAATTTTCTGAGCGGGACGCTGCCAGCGGCTTGGAGCACATTGAAAATTTTCAGAGAAATCTGGTCTTGTAAAGCATGCACCAAGAAGGCAATTGGGAGTTTGCTTTCTTCATTTTGGCTGGGAGTACATCTTTTTTATCCTTTTGCAGTCAACACATATTTCCAGGAAGTGAAACCTTGAATATGTAATTTATTCTTGCCAAATGGCCATTTAAACCAGTTGCGAAGTATTGTAATATTCCGCAACTCGTCCATAATCGTCCATAATTACGGACCACGGCAGGTATTGGAAAATCATGCGATCCAAGGAGGGCAGATTCTTGACCATATATAATTCGTTATCATATCGAGGATGGTAAAGTTATGACTTGTGATTTGCGTAATATGGAGAGCATGCGAGAAAATTCTAGCCAAACCGCGCCACAATCCAAGTTGCCGACCGGCCGCACCGCCAAACAGTATCTCTCTGAAATCTGAATGCCAAAAATTCAGCATGTGCATGTCTTCCTTTTCGTCCAAATAGACATATGTTTAGATAAATATTGTTCGGGCATTGCGGTGGCGCCATTGCCTCGATACCGCATTGCCTTAGCACACCATAAGCTCGCACACCATAGCTTGCATCACTTGCTTGCAACTTCGTCATAGTTTCATAGCATGCGGCACTTGTTTATGTGTCGGTGCATTTACAATTCCGCTTTCTCATGCAAACTATGTATCCTTAGAAGCTGGACATTACGACTGAAAATGAGTTAGGAATCGAGGTCTTGCTGGGTGTTTCCTGCTTTCCTGACGTAGATGGAGGTACGTGCATGGCTCGAAATCATTTACTCAAACAGTAAATATCTCTTTTTGCGACAATCTACTGTTCCTTTCTGCGGCAGTGCCAACCTCCTTGTTTTTTGCGACAGAGGATCGATCTTTTCTGCGACAGTGGCCATTGCCGAAGAGTAACTCGGGAAGCCAGGCGACCAATGAATCTGCTGCCCAGCGCTCCCAGCCCTGGGCGGAAATGTTTTCGTGGCGGTGGCGGATCCCTGTCCCCTGTCAAGACATGTCCCTCCAAGTCCGCAGGCTGAGACCTGCGCATTGGTGGGCTTAGGCTTGGCGCAATGCTGTGTTGTGGCAATGCGGCGCTCAGTTGACACTGCATGCCCACACGCGTTGGCAGGGCGGCCCTAAACAGCAAGCAAAAGGCAAATGTTGACCGGTCAAAAGCACTTGGCGCCAGCGCCGATGCGCCCTCGATGCTTGCGCGATGCATAAGAAATCTGATTTTTCCAATTCCTTGCATAGACTCAGAGGATCAGGGGATGCGTGGGCGATCTCTGTGATGGGTACTATTGGAGATATACGCGTGGAGCAGCTGCAGCAAACCATGCGACGGTGGCCTTTCCGTGAGAAGCGCGCTGGGCATAAGTTCAT